CATAAAAAAGTTTTGCAGTACTTCTTTCAATTTGAGTCCCAATAGTTTCGACTTAATTAATTACCTCGGTTTTTAGAGTAAATTGCAAATTTGGTCCTATTAAAATATGAAAGTAGCAATTCAGATCTCCGAGTGATATGACAAGATAAGTCATGTAGTTTTAAAATTTTGCTGTAATTTCAGTCTTTTTGCCTTCAAAATTCTCAAATTATATATTTGGGATGAATTTTAGTTAGTAATTTAAGTACTGCAATTTCAGTAATTTGATCGGGACTAAAAATGTTATATATCACTCCAGTGAGACCTAAATTTTTACCTTCAAAATCTAATATAGCCGAAATTCAAAACGTTGCTGCAATTTCAGTCTTTTGACCATCAAAATTTCCAAATTATAAGCATTTTGAATAGATTTTGATTGACAATTTAAGTCATGTAATTTAAAAGTTTGCTGCAATTCCAGTCATTTATCCAGGTCAAATGACTGAAGTTGCAACAAACTTTTAAATTTACTGAAAAACTGCATCAAAATTTTAAATTATATGATTAAAAATGCTATGTATAACTCTAGTGAGAACTAAATTGTTACATTCAAAATCTAATTAAAGCAAAAATGCAATTTAGTCCCGTTTTTAACTAGTTAAATTTTTGCTTGGTGTGGTTTTAGCATTCAAGCTTATTTGTATAACCAAGACTTATAAGATAAGTTAATTAAATAAGCCATAAACTAACTCATGGTACTAACCAAATATAGCTGGTTACCCATTTTCTCTAATAAAATTGTCCCTCTAATTGAAATAGTCTTTCTTATAATTAACAAAAAATAATAATAATAATAATAATAATAATTAATTGATTAAATAAATAAATAGATAAATATAAAATTGAGAATAAGCTTTGGATCCATGTCTTATCCTGACAAATATATTTTGAGCTCTATACATTAATACGTTAGTACCATCTCTCATTTTCTTGTGTTTACTGTTGCAACGGCTAAAAGCTGCTCTTAATACACTGCACATTTTCATGCACCCCACTGCACTATTCATTGCCTATGATCAATTGCAGGTTTGTCTATCTTTTCCCACCATAATTTTCATCACATATATATATAATATATAATATAAGTAAATAAACTAAAAATATTTATACGATAAACTAAAACCATCTCGAGTCCTTATCTTTATTTTAGTGCAGAGTTTACTCTATTGTAGACTAGAGTTAACCAAAAATCAAATTCGGCCTCCAACCGTTCGCGTTACATTCTACTCCACATATATTACTCATATTATTTTAATTTATTTAAACTGTCAAAATATTATTTAATTAGACATATTAATTTATAAAATAAATTAAATCATGATATTAGTTGGTCTTCCACTGGTTTGAAATATTGTTCCACAAAGAATTATTATTTTTATATAATATTTGATTTATTTTATAGTAATTCAATATAAAAATATATTTTTTAATAATGATATTTTTATATAATTATAAAATTAAATTATAAATATAATGGTAAAAACTTTGTCAAATAATGAATTTTAAGATAAATTAATTGCATATAATAAAAAATAAAAAATAAATAAAAATTGTAGAGTAATGAATAATACGCACCATATGTAGTGTTATATTATTCATAACTCTAGAATAGTGCAGAGATGTGGCGCAGCGTTGGAGAGCAATTTTGTCTTTACTCTATTGTAATACGCTAGAGTAGCGCAGTATTGGAGATGTTGTAACACTGGAGTTATTTTTCTCTTTATTTGATTTGTGGACCCCTGGAATTATTTTCATAGCCACTTGAGTCCAAGGGGCCGGTAGTGAATACAGTTCAAATCGTCTTGTAAAAGGTCGAGTTTGACTCGCACGTTTAGTTTGACGAGCTAAGTTTAAACAACTGGATGAGTTTATTTGTTGAACAAGTCGAGTCGACCTTATCTGAGAAGTATTCGTTTTAATTTTTTTTATTTATTGCGGATTTTAAATATAATAGTCGAGCAAACATATTCGCGAACAAAGTTTCCATATATTCGTGAACACCTCATTTAAAGTTCAAATTTGTTAAACGAATTGGGTCAAACAAAGTCGGACTTTTACGAGTTGAATCTTTAGCTCGTTCATTACAGCCAAGAACGAACACGAGCTCGAACAGGAGCTATTTGGCTTGGATTCAGGAAAAATGGCAACATCAACATAATTGTCACTATGCAATTAGTATATAGGTAACAGATGCTACAATAGAGAGATCAAAACAATATAAATATACATAGGGATTGGATCAAATGGTTCCATATATATTCTTAAAATAGGAATGTGTGACTCAATTCTACTTATTAGATAAAGAACAAGATTTATAATCTAAGATTCAATCTTTATTATTTTTAACTATTTAAATATTAATTTGGCCGTTGATGTTGACAGTTGACTTCTAATATTAACCACCTATGTTGACCATTGAGATTGTATAAATTATGTATAAAGTAAAGATGTATTGTGTATGAACTAAATGTGCACTCCAAATACGCAATGCATAAGAACTAAATAAATATGCATTTTTTTATGAACTAATCGTACAATCATAATATGCAATCGATATCAACTAAGTATGCGTTGCTTTTAAACTAAATATACATTCTGTGTAAATAAATAATGCACTATATTTGAACTAAATGTGCAATCTTGAAACTAATAATTGTGTCCCTGTCGAAATATCTAAGCATGCAATATGTATGAATTAAATATGCTCTATATACGCTACTTTTATGCATCACATTAATCATATAATGAATAACAATTATTATTATATTAAAACTAATAATATAATAAAATAAATCAATCGACCGGTTTGACCGTCAACAGTTGAACAGTCGCCACCGGCGGCTGTCAACGCCGATCCATTGATTTTTGTATTATATAATAAATTTTTAATTATAATAATTATTATTTTTTTATTATATAATTAACATAAATCAGAATTGATTAATATGAGTCACTCTTTCTATACAAATCAATTTATTATCACTCTAGATATGTGGGTGTAATATGTTTAATAATATAGCAACAGTAAAAC